ATTTCTTGTTCTTTATTGGATAATTGCTTTTTCAATGTTTCAATTTCATTGATTAGTTCTTTATTTGCTTGTTGTTGCTCTTTTAGGATGTTTGTCATGATTTTCCTTTTTTTATTTATTCTTTTAATATACTTATATCCTTAGGGTATGTTAAGTATATAATTATTTGAGAATTGCTATTTCTCACCAGTGGTGATTGTCACCACCCAAGGAATTAAATTTGCGTGGGGTGGAGTTAGGGTTGGGGTTAATCATAAATTGTATAATTCCTTAGGTGGTGACAATCACCACCAGTGAGAAATAGCAATTCCCTAATTATTTTAGTACTTTTTTACTTTAAATGTGGAAAAAAGCTAACAATATTTGTCAAAAGATTAAACTTAATGACAGTAAGAAGTCATAGAGGTGATTTTATTCTAAATATTTTATTCATTGCCAGTATATATTGGTCTTGGGCAAGTAATATCTTTGTATTCATCTTTCACAAATGGATGAATATTCTGGTAAAGATATCTTGTCTTTTGTAATCCAAATGGATAAAGCTCTAATTTCTTCAAAAATGTCTGCTTTCTTAGATTTCAATAAATTGAATTCAGTAAAAGGTCCATTACCTTTCCCCTCACTGAATTCTACCAACGCACCCTGCAACTTCACCACCTGCTCCCACCTCTCATCTTTGTCCTTCACCAGTCTTTTTTTTCCTTCCTTCAGCTCATCTATCCATCCTTCCCACCTTTCCTTATGCTCTTTGTTCCTGTATTTTTCATCATCCAACTTTTCTTCCAACCTCACTAATCTTTTTTGTTTATTCTCCCCTTATTCGAACTTCTCCAACTTCTCCACTGCCTTCCTATAATCTCCTCTTGCTTATTCTAATTCATCTTTGATGTCTTTATATGTTTCCATCTTTAAATTTAAAAAACATATCCTTGAATGTAGTAGAATTTTTTGTTCAAAAATTCAAACAACGTTTTTTTACTGATAACAATGCAATATGATGTTCATTAATTACATTTTGCATAAAGGAGAATTTTCTTTGTAGTAATAGTCAGTAAAAAAATAAATCAATATTGTAATAATAAAATTATTTTCCTTCTAGGGATTTCTGCTTTTTGTTGGGTAATAGCACACTTTCATTTTGTTTTCTTTTTCTAACATTTATTATTTTTCTTCTTGGTAAATTTCATAAGTAATCCTTTCTTAGATAAGTTTCCAGTGTCTGAGTATCATTTATTTTGAAAATATAAGGAGCAATTTTTTCACCCTGCTCTTTCTTCAAAATACTTCTAATGGTACTATAATT